CCCCAAAACCCCAAAACCCCAAAACCCCAAAACCCCAACTATCAAAAACATTACTCAACTAAACTCTAAAAATGGGAAGCTCCTGTTGCCCTTCATCCGATAGCGAAAATACTGACCAGCCTCCCCCGAACAAGTCTGAAGAACCAAGTCCTGGGCCCTTACAGAAGCCTTCACAAGAATTTGTTCCTTCCTGCTTTGACTCTTACGGAGAGATAACTGATAAGACCGTGTTCGAGGAGGAAGAAAAGGGGAGGAAGAAGGGGTTATAGGGGAGTGGGGGAACAGAAGAGGTAGGTTTGGAAGGACGGGGTGAAAGAAGGGGTTTTAGGAGATTTTGGTGCATGAGGTGGGCTTTTTTGTGAAATTTGGACCGTTGATAGTGTTTTGAGCGTTCAAGATTGGTTATAGGTGGTCTTAGCATGTTTTAGATTAGGTTTGGGAATTTAGAAGTAAGAGAAAATTAATAGGGAAATTGTTAGCTCTATATAAAATTTCTATTTAATCTTCCAATTTACCTGCTTAAAAATCGATATTCGTATAGAAACTTCTAATAAAGAATACAAGGAGGAAAATCATACAGGCTATTCAGTTTATGGATCTTCAAAACATTCTTATTTAAAGAAATCTAGCAGAACCTTTTATCCAACTCAAGATTCCCCTCCTGTTCAAGATGGCGGCCTAAATAAAATTTATACTCAATATGTAAACTATTTTCTTAATCAAGGTCTTAGCTTTACAGATTCTAAGGCTTGGGCATCGTATTATGTGAGTTTACGAAACTATAAGCAACAACAACCCTTTTCTGATGAAGAGAATCAGAGTTCAGATAGTTTTGAAATCAAAGAAATTCTGACTAGAGGGCATAACAATACAAAGAAATATAAAGGAACTCGTCACAAGAACGATAAGAGTAGTGGAAACGGATACTACAACGAAATTGGGTATTATTTCAACCCTGATGGAACTTTCTATGATAAAGATGGCTTCTTTCACAACACTAATAAAGATAACTTAAAGAATGAAAGCAAGCTTCAAGAAGAAGTAGATCCATCCCAGGCTGATAGTAGTGATTCCGACTTTGAGATCTCTTCACTAGGTCCAGAAATGGGATATAAACCTCAATTTCAGCACAAAAATCAATATGGCTCTGGGAATCTGAAGGATAGTGTTGGTAATGCAGAATTTGATCAGCATTATTTACTTTGAGTGCTGTTTTATTTTCTTTGATTTGAAATTTATAAAATAAGCTCTTATTTTTCGTTAATATGATCCTTGTCAAGAACTTTTCTACTATTACTTTGCCCTCATTCCCAAAAAATCCTCAACAATGTTTTTAATTCACCTTGATCTCTTGTACCTTCAAAATTTCTTTATAGAAATTCCTAAGAATACTCATTCAGATTCTGACTTGTCAGCCTACATTGAGTATGTAACTACGTATAAGTATTACGATGATTTAGAGTATTTGTATAATACTCGCAAAAACAGTGTTACTTTTGTACTCGAGAACCTGCCTCCTAAACTCTCTAAGGCCTCTCTGGTCAAGTACTTCTACGACCAAGGTGTTGACACAAGAAGGATCGAAGTTCAAAGAAGAACAGGAACCACAGCTATAGTCCAAGCCTTTAGCATCCCAATAGCTATCCAAGTACTACAACAATGTGGAAATTATTTGAAAGGCAGAGTGCTACTCATTGAAATAGACCAAGAGGACGAAAGAATGAGACTGGAAAGATTAATAGAAGCTCTCTAAATTTCAATACAAGGAATTTATAAAGGGGTTTTGGGGTTTTGGGGTTTTGGGGTTTTGGGG